TGCAATCCTCTGTTCTTGTTGATTTTGCCTATCCAGGTGTTCTGTTTGGCCCATGGGCATGGCTTATTATGGCGATCGGAATATCTGCACTCGTTCTGGGATTATGGCCTATGCATGTGATTTGGACATACTACTGCATCATCAGGTAGCGTTCACAGTTTTGTACAGATCTATCTGAAAAGAAAATACCATGTGATGGATCTATGTACATAGATGTGCTGAGTTGCTGACCAGTGATCCCCTTTTCTATGAAGGCAGAACCAAGCTGGTGGGACCTGTTGTGAAGCTGCTGCTTCTTATTTCTGTATCTGGGATTTTAGTCTTGTGGCTGATAGTTGGCATCCTTGGAAGTGTACTTGCTGGGTTAGCATACGGCTTTCTAGCACCAGGAATGGCCACATTTGATGCACTCGGTGAAGGAAAAGAAAGGCCACTGGTTCATTGTTTTGTGGTATATTTATGATTTTATTTTTTATGGCGCTACTTTGAAATTATGTTGTTTATGCACCTCTCAAACTTTCAAGTGCAAAATCCATGTTGGGGCCAACAATTAATCCAATAATATGTGGATTATGTTATGCAAAGTAGTACTGTTGGATTATTGTTCAAAATAAAATTTATTATGTTTGTAGCTTTGCAGCTATTAACAAAATAGTGCACAAGAAATTCACGGTCAAATTACAAAATTGACCGGTCAAAATACGCCCTACATAAAAAACGGGGGAGTGCTTGTTTTACATGAGTAGCTAAATTGAAATGCAGGATGGCACATGGAGCACTATCACAGGAGGCTGTACAGTAGTCAGGGACCTGAAAGACATGTTATTCCATTCATACCTTGCATATATGGATGATCTACGGTTCCACGAACCTCCTGGTGGAAAACCATTTGAAATAAGGTTTGCTTGCTTCTTTTATTTTTAGCTATTTCTCTTCTATCCAAGAAGGTTGCAAATTTCTTTGTGCTAGCTTTTACATCGGATACTTGGACAAAACTCCATGAGTTACCAGGACTAACTTGAGTAGTGCAGTTGTATTATAATTGTGTCATTGTAAAAGTGGAATCATGGAGCCTTCATACAGGATGTTAATAGCACTATATTGTTCTGTTCTTTTGTTTTATATATGGTGCATTTGTTTTTGCTATGCACAGTTCAGGATTGCAGTTAAGCGCAGAATAATGTTTGACCTAAGAAATGTGAAATTTTGCCTTGTCAAATGAAATTCCACCATGCTATATCCAATATTTAAATACTCTATGTTGATGTATTTTTTCTCGAAGAATTCTGTTGAACAAATTCAAACAGTTAACTCTGCATTTTCCCAGAGTGCTTGATATTCCTGGCGCAGTACTCGCTGCCGCATGTGGACTCTTAATGGATGGGATAATGTTCACAGCAATTGCCTTGTACAAGTTCCCTGTGATGCTTTTCAAAGGATGGAAGCGACTTATTGAAGATCTAGTTGGCAGAGAAGGACCTTTTCTTGAGACAGTGTGTGTGCCATTCGCTGGTCTTGCTATTCTTCTCTGGCCATTTGCTGTTTTAGGAGCCTTCCTAGCCTCCATGATCTCCAGTGTTCCTCTAGGCGCATATGCTGCCATTGTGGTTTATCAGGTATAGACAGGAAACGAAATATTTTTACTTCAAACGTCAAGCATTACCTGCATTGACGTATCAGTATCAACGGTGAAGCCACGGAGCTTACTCCTGCAGTCTTGCTGATGTGCCAGGAATCCTCGCTTTTCATGGGACTATCTTATGCAATATCATCAGTATCCATCTTCGATGAGTATACAAATGATGTACTTGACATGGCACCAGGATCTTGCTTTCCTAGGTACAAATGATGTATTCCATATTGCATTATTCTCCTTGCGTTGTCCCTTTCTGAATAAACAGAGTTAACACGAAAAACCATGCCTAGGTTTGTATACCGGAAGAATCAAGCTTCCATGGAAAGTGGCCGTGGCCCGCTCTCAAGGCCTGCCTCATTCAGGGATAAGCAAGATGGAAAGAAAGCTCCAGCACGGATTACATCATTTAAGAGTAGCTTTGATGAGTTCAATCCATTTAAGGTGAATTTTTCCTGGCTTTGACAGATTTCTTTTTATGCGTGTTCACTGCACAATTTTTTCTTGCTTTGCTGTTGCTGCCGTTTGGTCGATACATACCTTCCATGTATTCTAATACTCCCTCTGTCCGAAAATACTTGTCATCAAAATGAACAAAAAAGGATGTATCTAGAACTAAAATACTTGTCATCAAAATGAACAAAAAAGGATGTATCCTCTTTTATTCATTTTGATGACAAGTATTTCCGGACGGAGGGAGTATGTTGGGAATAGCGCCTGTTTTAGGCTTTTAAAGGTTACATTGTGCTAATTAATCTTGCCATTCCGAATTTACTCCCTCCGTCTTATAATATAAGAGCCTTTTTGACACTCTTATATTATGGGACAGAGGGGGTATTTTGCAAGGCAGGCTACAATTCTATTGGCTTAAATTTGTGCAGTTAAATAATTTATAATTTTGTATAGTTGCTAGATCACCTATTCGAAGAGTGTCAGCACCGTGGCGAGGCTCTGGTCGCTGAAGGAGTGATAACACCGAAAGATATTGAAGAAACAAAGTCAGGCAAAGGCGGCAGCGGAGTGCTTAATGTCGGTTTGCCAGCATATGTTATTCTCAATGCACTCCTACGATCTGCAAAGGCTGATTCCGATGGCCTGATTCTGAGTGAGTAAAAATGGTCTTCTTCTCCATTCAACAGGCGCCGTTATGGCTTAGCTTGACTTGCCCTGTGAAATTTGCAGGAGATGGCTGTGAAATAACATCTGACAACAGGCCTAAGAATACACTATTTGATTGGTTCTTTGACCCTCTGATGGTGATCAAAGATCAAATCAAAGCCGAGAATTTTACAGAAGAGGAGGAGGCGTACCTTCAGAAATGCGTGCTGTTGATCAGCGACCCGAAGCGCCTCAAGGCGACTCTTCCGCATTTGCCATCCCTGAATGAGCGAAAACAAGCAGAAATAGACGCATTTGCTCGGAGGTACTTCTGCCCACCACTCTCCCCATTTGCAAAAGGGAAATGCACCAATTTTTTGTTTTGTGATTATTTCGATCTTGTGCTAGATTGCAAGGGATCACAAAGTCGATATCAAGGTACCCGACATCCAAGCGCCGTTTCGACGACCTAGTCAAAGCGCTTTCTGAGGAGCTGGAGAGGGCAATGGGCGGCAGCCGATCTGTCAGTGGATCACAGTTTCAGAAGCTCAGAAGCGGCCTTGTTCGAATGCTTAGCCAGAGATCGATGGGGAAGACAGCAAGCATCCGAGGAGGTGATCAAGAGGCGCAGCTCACAAACGACGCTGGTGCTGCGTAATATTTCAAAAAAAGCGGTGAAGAGAAGATCGCCGTTGTCCATATGTGTTTCCTAAGTTGTTTTTCACTAACTTTGTACAGAGAGCTGACTCTAGTGTGTGGGTTAAACTTGCAATGCTCCATGTTTCAGAAAGCAAAGTTCGCCTCATTTTTTAATCTAAAAAATGTCGATTTATGTGGATTTTATTAGCTTTTATCCACCAAAATGGTGTTACAGTGAAAATAGGAGGAGTCTCCAACCAAATTTGAGGGTTGCACTAAATACATTATGAACAGGAATATCTAGTAGTTGTTTTTTTACTTCATGATTGTTGCACTAATGAGTCTGACTAAATATGAACTGAGAATTGAAGACATGATGTCCAGCTGGCTCAAAGCCTAGGTTGCATAGCAATGTTCTACAAATATATTTGCAGCTAAAGGAAGGAACACCATTCTAGAAGAACATTATAATTGCAAAAAACAACCAGCTAGACAAAGATGCAAAATAATCATAGGAAGCCAGCAAAAAAATTAGTTAGTTTCAATTTCACCTTGAGTGCAGCTGGCGTTACATTCATTTGGAGATAAGGTATTACAGGCTTGTGCTTCGTAACCGTGGAAGGAACAACAACAGTCCCAACCTAGTGTGATGGGAGGTAATGATACTGAAATGCCGACAACAAAGCTACAAGTACTAGTCCATTACACATGATGAAGAAACATTGGCAGATCTCAACAATCAACAAGCATCGGAACCATCACTGCGCTTTCTTCTTGGCATCCTTAGCCTGCCCCTTCTTGCGGATTTTGATGCACATGCTGAGGCGCGTACTGTCCACGAGCGACTCTGGGAGGAGGGAAATCAAGAACCACAAAACAGAGTGTGGCCAGTACGGTGTGCACCTCGGCTCATAGCCAATGTGGCGAATAGCAGCACGAGCATAGGTGTCCGCGGATGGCACAAGGAAGGAGGATCTCCTGATTGATGCCATCTTTGTCGCCACGTACAAGGGCACCTGAATATATCGCAGGAGTTGTTAGAGCTCGGCAATTCGTATATATAAATAAAAAAAATGAAAACAATATCCTAAAAACAACAGAGAGGGCAAAACTATTCAAATGACTAGTTTTTGGTTGACTTTCAAGGATCCTCAAGGGACAACAAATCTGAACGACATGCTAACATCATCATGATACTGGTATTTAACTCATTTCTTATTACATACATGATCTATCAACATATCTCTTTGAGCAAGGACAGTGCACTTAGGGATTGAATTCTCAAATAAGCAGTGGCAAAAGGTAGGTATAACACGAGAAGATAGAAATACAGGCTTCATTAGTTCAGTTGAAGATGAGACATGGTAATTTGTCTGGCAAAGCCTGTCTGTTATCTAGTCCGATCTATATGTAACACATAACATATCCTTATCAGAACAAATTCAGAACCTGCTTGTCGCATTTGATTTTTTGTATCATAATGTATAGTATTTACATTCACTACAGGTTATGCGTTTTGCTGTTTCAATTGAAATTTTAGTAGTTTAGACATACCACTATGTGAAAGACAAGAAAAGCAAATTAGCAAAATTAGACAATCCAGCTACTTTCCTTTTAACAAACCGTTAATTCATTTGAACCACAAAGAGTCAGCAACTGAGTTAAAGAAAGCAGGTAATAGAAAGATAAAAGAGAACGGGAGAATAGTTTTTACCTGGCATTGCACATCGATGCCCTTGCCCTTGTACTCAACATAGAGGCATCTTGAGAACTGGTCGACGTACCTGAAAAACAAAAACAAATTAGCATCCTCTCTGCTTCTGCTGTCAATCTAGTCATAATTTGTGAATGATAAGTCACTAAATCATTTTCGTAACCGATCTGGACAGGGTCTGAACTGAAGACATACATCAAGCAAACTATCTAACAGTTTGTTACACATCTAAATCCAAGACTAGCACCAGAATCTGGCATGAGTATGACACGGGAGCTAACAAGTACACCGAAAGTGCTTCTTCGATTCCCTATCACAATTCTTCCTAGCATAGTACAGGTAGGCAAGAAAGTAGTGCCCTCTGTTCGCAGGGTTGCTTCCGCTACCGCCATCTGTGAGCACGAACATATAACAATGGCATGCCATAGTATGTAGTACGCGCAGAGCAAATTAAGTAGTAATTCGATCGAGGAGAAGAAGAAGAAGAAGGTTAGTACTCACGCTTTGGTGGCGGCGTAGACGGAGTAGAGTGGATCGGACGGCACGACGGAGGCAGCACCGGAGCCGATGTTGACGATTGCGCCACGCTTCCTGTCGACCATGCCCGGGAGCACGGCGTGGGTGACCCGCGTTACGCCCTCGACGTTGACCCGGATGAGGCTCCGCATGAGCTCCTCGTCCACCTCGTGGAAGTAGCGGGCGTACGGGTACGAGACCCCGGCGTTGTTGACGAGCACGCCGACGTCGAGGCCCCGGATGGAGTCCTTGAGCGCCTCCACCCCGGCGGCGAGCCCCTCGGAGGCGAAGTCGAGCACGAAGGTGCGGACCTCGGTCTTGGGGTACTTGGCCCTGATCTCCTCGGAGACAGCGGCGAGCTTGTCCGGGTTGCGGCCGACGAGCACGAGGCCGAGGCCGGAGGCCGCTAGGCGGAAGGCGATGGCGCGGCCGATGCCGTCGGTGGCGCCGGTGACGACGGCCCAGGGCCCGTAGCGGCGGCGCAGGGGCTTGCCGGGGCGGAGGAAGGCGGCGTAGACCCAGAGGGCGAGGCGCAGGGCGGCGCGGGCGGCGACGAGGAGGCCGACGGCCGCGAGGGCCAGCGCCCACGCCGGCTGCGCGCGGAGGAACTCGACGTGGGCGCACGTGCCGGCCATGGTGCTTGCTGGGTTGGCTTGAGCGTTCGCTCGATCCGCGGTGGGGAGCGGCGAGTTATAGCGGAGCGGCGCGGGTCGGATCGGGTCGGCTGGATCTTTGATGGGGTTGGTGGAGCCGGTGCACCAGTCCAACGCTCGACTAGCCATAAAAAAGACGGTTGCGCGTCGTGTCAGTCTCAGACCCCAGTTCTGCTTCGTTTTTTCTCTTATTTGTTTGAGTTGGACTCGGACCCCAGTTCTAACAAGTCCGATTTCAATGTTTGTTTTTCGAATTCGGTTTACTTTTTTTTAACTGAACCCAGTACTTACCAGCTCAAGTATTCAGCCATAAAACAGCTGGTCTTCGCTCGGTGGTTTTCTAATTTCTTCACCTAAAAAGCACGTCGACTTGTCTATGTTGTTATAGACTTGCTTCTTCGCAACGTTTCTGTTGAGTTCAAATTGACATAGATAATGATGTGACTTTATTAAAAGGAATCCAGTTATAGGGATCAATGTTTCTCTAGAGAAAAATAGTCAATTCTTTAGATCTTTGACCTATATAAAGATCTAAAGAATTGACTATTTTTGGCCGCAGAGATCGATATTTTCCACTATTGTGATCATCCTCTCCCCTCACCGCCGTTCCCGCTCGAGCTGACTAATGGGCAACCCTAGCGTTGATTCTCGACCTTGGCAAGACGAGAAGGGTTTAGAGTTTGTGTGCGGCAGTGGCATCTAGCGAGGCGGAGTTGTCCACTAGAGAGACAAAAGAGCTGGAAGATATGATGGAACAATTATAGATTAGAGAAGAGTGCTTGGATGATCTGGTCTATGAGGAATTGAGGATGAACTGCCGGAGGCGACCGGAACACAACGTTGGTTGCTGATTAGTAGGGTTCATACTACCAAGGAGTATGATGACTTCATTTTTTTAGGAACATGCGAAACACTTTGGATCTGGCACGGCCGATGAGGTTCTATTCCTTGGGCGAAAATCTTTACAATGACTGGGACAAGGAAATGGAATGAGGTCCTTAAACTTTTTGAGGTCATCCGGTGTTGTTGGCTCCATATGATGGATTTACAAAGCCATCATTGATCTCAACACGCTTAAAAATTTGGATACAATTTCATGATCCGCCTGATGGTTTCAGTCCTCTCGTGAAGCCCCTTGCGGTAAAGGTTGGTGAACTCTATGTGGAAGAGAATAATTCTGGGATTTTTCAGGGAATTTCTACAGAGTTAACTGTTAAGGTGATATTGGGTGTTAGGAAACCCCTCACAAATCGTGTTTCAATTGTCAAAAAGAAGAAGAAAAAGAAGAGGCAGATCATTAAGGTGAAATATCATAGGCTACTGGATTGGTGTGCTTGAGCATTATGACTCGCCACTTATTTAACAAGCATAGTGATGGCGTGCCCCCCTTCTGCCCTTGTGTTCAAGAACCTTCGTGCAACTTGGAGTAGTGGTGTTGGTTGTTCTGGTGATCATAATCAAGGTATTGGCAAAGCAGTCAATTTGGTCCTTAATCCTCTTGGTGACCTGGAATATGAGGGCGATATGGATGTTGATTAGTTGAAAGATTTCTCCAATGAAGCGGAAGATCTGGATCTAGCAGGAAGAGAGGTGATGATACATCTTCCAAGGAGATTCCACCGGCTGCTAATACCGGGACTTTGGTGATGAGTGGTCAGGCGGTGTTCCACCTGGCTCGTCTGCCAAACAAGACCTAAAAAGGTCCAAGACTGCAACTTCTAGTAGCTCTAGCATTGTGCAAAACAAGGCAAGGAACAACACATATTTGGCGGGCTCCTTTGAGGAGTGTTGTTGAGATCAATGAATTCAGGGACATTTACATTTGTGCCCCTAACTCGAACCCACTACTCAAATTTATCCCTAACTTAATGTGCTCAAATTTGTCCCTAAAAAGTATTTTGTTGCAATCGTTGCATGGAAAACAAAAAAAAATTCTATGCACACGCAATGATCTATCCATGGAGATGCATAGCAACGAGGGGGAGAGTATGTCTATGTACCCTCGTAGACCGTAAGCGGAAGCGTTTGACAACCCGATTGATGTAGTCGAGCTTCTTCACGCTCCAACCGATCAAGTACCAAATGCACGGCACCTTCGTGTTCTGCACACGTTCAGCTGGGTGACGTCCTCCGCATTTTTGAACCAGCAAGACGGCGAGGTAGTAGTTGAATTCCGTTAGCACGACGGCGTGGTGACGATGATGGTGATGTGATCTCCGCAGGGCTTCGCCTAAGCACAATGAAGATATGACCGAGGGAGTAAACGGTGAACCGGGGCGCCGCACACGGCTGAGACAATGGTGTGTCCTTGTGTGGCGCCCCCTCCCCACATATATATATATATAGGTGGGAGGGGAGGGGAGGCAACCAGGTGCGCCCTAGCTAGGGTTGGCCGCCGGCCCCCTAAGGGCCCTACCTTGCCCTGCGCCCCCCTCCATGTTTTCCCAAGGGGGGAGGAAAGAGGGGGGAGAGGGAAGGAAGGGGGAGTCCTACTCCACATTTTCCTTTCCCTCCCCTCTTCCTTCTCCTCCTAGGCCAGCCTGCTATGGGGGCGCACCAGCCCCTTGTGGCTGGTGCATTTCTTCTCTTTGCCCATTAGGCCCATATCTTTGCCGGGGTGCCCGAAACTCCTTTCCGGTGACCCGATAAGTACCCGGTACCCTCTGAAACACTTTCGGTGTCCGAATACCGTCGTTCTATATATCAATCGTTACCTCTAGACCATTTCGAGACTCCTCGTCATGTCCGTGATCTCGTCCGGGACTCCGATCAACATTCGGTCACCAAATCACATAACTTATATAATACTATATCGTCAACGAACGTTAAGCATGCGAACCCTACAGGTTCGAGAACTATGTAGACATGACCGAGACACCTCTCCGGTCAATAACCAATAGTGGAGCCTGGATGCCCATATTGGCTCCTGCATATTCTATGAAGATCTTTATTGGTCGAACCATTATGACAACATACGTAATTGTTGGGGAACGTTGCAGAAAATTAAAAATTTTCCTACGGTTTCACCAAGATCCATCTATGAGTTCATATAAGCAACGAGTGATAGGAGAGAGATGCATCTACATACCACTTGTAGATCGCGTGCGGAAGCGTTCAAGAGAACGGGGATGATGGAGTCGTACTCGCCGTGATCCAAATCACCGATGACCAAGTGCCGAACGGACAACACCTCCGTGCTCAACACACGTACGGAGCGGATGACGTCTCCTCCTTCTTGATCCAGCAAGGGGGAAGGAGAGGTTGAGGAAGAAGGCTCCAGCAGCAGCACAATGGCGTGGTGATGGTGGAGAGGCAGTACTCCGACAGGGCTTCGTCAAGCACTTAACGGAGGAGGAGAGGTGTTGGGGAGGGGAGGGGCTGTGCCTTGGATGTCGTCTGCAGCCCTCCCTTCGCCCCTCTATTTATAGGGGAAGGGGGGAGGGGGCCGGCCCCCTCTAGATGAGATCTAGAGGGGGGGGGCGGCGGCCAAGGGAGGGGGCTTGCCCCCCAAGCAAGGGGGGCGTCCCCACTAGGGCTCCCCCCCAACCCTAGGCGCATGGGCCCAAGGGGGGGGCCCAGCCATCCAGGGGCTGGTTCCCTGCCCCCTATGGCCCATGAGGCCCTCCGAGAGGGGTGGCCCCTCCCGGTGGACCCCGGGAACCCCTCCGGTGGCCCCGGTACAATACCGATATGCCCCCGAAACTTTTCGGTGACCGTATGACAACTTCCCATATATAAATATTCACCTCCGGACCATTCCGGAACTCCTCGTGACGTCCGGGATCTCATCCGGGACTCCGAACAACATTCGGTAATCACATACAAGTCTTCCTAATAACCCTAGCATCACCGAACCTTAAGTGTGTAGACCCTACGGGTTCGGGAGACATGCAGACATGACCGAGACGGCTCTCCGGTCAATAACCAACAGCGGGATCTGGATACCCATGTTGGCTCCCACATGCTCCTCGATGATCTCATCGGATGAACCACGATGTCGAGGATTCAATCAACCCCCTATACAATTCCCTTTGTCAAACGGTACATTACTTGCCCGAGACTCGATCGTCGGTATCCCAATACCTCGTTCAGTCTCGTTACCGGCAAGTCACTTTACTCGTGCCGTAATGCATGATCCCGTGACCAAACACTTGGTCACTTTGAGCTCATTATGATGATGCATTACCGAGTGGGCCCAGAGATACCTCTCCGTCATATGGAGTGACAAATCCCAGTCTCGATCCGTGTCAACCCAACAGCCACTTTCGGAGATACCTGTAGTGCACCTTTATAGTCACCCAGTTACGTTGTGACGTTTGGTACACCCAAAGCACTCCTACGGTATCCGGGAGTTACACGATCTCATGGTCTAAGGAAAAGATACTTGACATTGGAAAAGCTCTAGCAAAACGAACTACACGATCTTGTGCTATGCTTAGGATTGGGTCTTGTCCATCACATCATTCTCCTAATGATGTGATCCCATTGTCAATGACATCTAATGTCCATAGTCAGGAAACCATGACTATCTGTTGACCAACGAGCTAGTCAACTAGAGGCTTACTAGGGACGTATTGTGGTCTATGTATTCACACGTGTATTACGATTTCCGGATAATACAATTATAGCATGAATGAAAGACAATTATAATGAACAAGGAAATATAATAATAATCCTTTTATTATTGCCTCTAGGGCATATTTCCAACAGTCTCCCACTTGCACTAGAGTCAATAATCTAGTTACATTGTGATGAATCGAACACCCATAGAGTTCTGGTGTTGATCATGTTTTGCTCGCGAAAGAGGTTTAGTCAACGGATCTGCGACATTCAGATTCGTATGTACTTTGCAAATATATATGTCTCCATCTTGAACATTTTCACGGATGGAGTTGAAACGACGCTTGATGTGCCTGGTCTTCTTGTGAAACCTGGGCTCCTTTGGCAAGGGCAATAGCTTCAGTGTTGTCACAGAAGAGTTT